CCGTTAAATTAAAGGTGTTATTCTTATAACAGTATTCTTGTTTTCGAGGTAAGTAACACGGATACGAGATGGACATTAAGAGTTAAAGCAGCTGAATAACTGTATCTACAGATAATCGAAATACTACATCGGTTATTAAAAAATAGGCCCCCACCAGTGGCTGAGTGCTAATGACCGCTGATTGCTGATAACTCAGCTTGGGTTCCATCTCAGAAAAAAAAAAGGGGGTGGCTACATGGTTAGTTTTCGTGGTTTTTCCCATGTGTAACATGAATACGAGCTAGATTCTCTTATAAAGTCCTCCCCAAAGGCATCCCTTCCCTTCGACAGATAGCTATCGTGTACATGACCATATTCGTATAATAATAATGAAAGAATTTGCATCAAATGATAAATCATTATAGTACAGGTAGCATTTTGAAACAAATCAATTTAAAATTTTTATGTGTGTTATTTAAGTGAAATTTAATACTGTATGAAAAATAAAAGAACATACGTCCGTGTACGCAAAAACTGTGTATAACTATTTACAAAATCGTAAGCGTAAGAGAAAGATTACGGTCTTTATCTACAATAGCCGAGAAAAATTTTTCTAAATGTTTTCTTGAAAAATTTAAAAATTTAGATATTAATATATTAACAGAATTTAAAAAAAACGAAAAAGAAAAGTTAGTAAACTAGACTGCCAGGTATCGATCAGTAAGAGAACTAATTTGTCACGAAAATATTTCTTCAATAATTTTTACATAATAAATTCAATAATTTTTACATAGTAAAGAAATGTTACATTTCAATCTCACAAATGAAAAGAAACACTTTCCGGTTTTCAGTTTCTAACTGATGAAGAACTAATATCATTGAATTTATGTAATTTAAAGACAGAAGCTACAAAAAAAAAAAAAAAAAAAAAAAAAAAAACATGTACTTTTCACTAAAATATCTAAATGATATAAATACTCCAGAAATTTAGTCAGGAATTCTTAGTTTTAAAAGTCTCTTTATTTCTATAATTTTTGGCATTAAAGCAGCTACAAGCATGGATTTAACACACTGAAGACCTCCGAGTTAACTGATGAAGCAAGGTGAAAGTAAAGAAAAAGCATGAAGTATCACAAAATTTTATTTAGTTTTTATAATATAATATAAAAATATGATGAAATCGATAATCTGTATAAATACTGTCTGAAAGCGATTTAGTGATCACATTTAAATCAGAGTTAACTGGCATATTTGATATTATCCAATAGTAAATAACAAGGAGTAGTAGTTTTAACTATTAATGATTACTATATTTATGTTTCGACGTAGATAAGAAAGCTGCTATTATTATGGGATAATAGCAGCTGTGTGAAAGGCTAGATTCCAGACTTTTATGCTTTGATCCAGCAGAAAATTTAGGAATAATTGTCGTGCACCACAGCCATTTTGGCCCTCCTTCTATCCATTCATCCGGCTTCATTCTCTAGTCAGACTCTTTTCTGTGATATGTGAGTGAGAAGAAAGTAAGAGAAGTGCACAGTGGGTAAAGCCGACACCATGGAATCTACCCATTGTCCTCCAATTACAATAAAAAATTACAAACCTTATCTACCGATCTAATTAATATTTTCCATATATCCAGTCAATAATTTTATTCTACATAATTTACTTCATAGCTCGAACATCTAATTCTTAACTCAGCTATAAGAATTAATAACTTAATTTTTAGCTGAGTGTTAGACTCAGAAGAATAGATTTCACACTCATTAAATATGAGTTTACTTCAGTGTACTAAATAACTGAATCTGTTCGAGTTGATCATGCAATTGTTGTCAATGCAATGCAACTAAATACAACGAATCTCTGAATGTTTCTAAAAACATAAATATGCATCGGTATTGGCATTACTTGTTAAAGACGACCATTTTTACAGAAGATCAGAAAATCATTTGAAACTGTGGGTGGTTGTCTTAGGATCCACGTGATATCTACATACACACGCTTTTAAATTATGCCTTATTTCCATTTTCGGTGAAAGCCAACTGTGAAACAGAAAGGATAGAAAAGAATTGATTTAAAAAAATAAAAAAAAAAAAAAAAAAAAGACAATCGACCTTGGGAAGAGTTTATTAAAAAAAAGATAACCACAAATTAGAATGTGCATACTTTACATATATGAAAGGTTTCAGATTTTAAATTACGTCCAAAGAGGCGTTTTTTTAGCACTTTATGTGTTACCTTTATTTATTAAATATCATGTTCTTCCCACTTAAACCATAAAATTCACTTCAATAGCAATGTCGCAAAATAATTTTAAAATGAGCCTATCTTTAGAATTTGCGATACACATTTCCGCGCGCTAGAGATAAAAAGGGGTTCCCTTCCCGGTAGATTATTGCCATTGCTCGCTTTCAAATCCTTGAGTTTGCTACTCAAAAATTCGTTAAAGTTTTACAAAATATGAAATCGATAATGAAACAAATTCAAAATTTCAAATTTGGGCTTCCACATGCCCATATTCGCAGTAGGATTACGTCATTCAAAATTCGATGGCTCTATGTACCATTGTTTTATCACAATGCGAGAAATAGACAATCATTTATGCAGATTTTTCATTATTTAATTTCTTCAAATATAATGCAGGACTGTAACATTTTGTGGCAACAGTTTGAAAAGTGAACCGACGTTTATGAGTCCGACGCAAAATCGCAAAACGAAAACAATAGTCCTTCAAGGACAAAGCCCCTTTGGACTAAAAACAGTTAATTATTTCGAATAACACCTTAGTGACATATCCGAATGAATCTCACAAATAACTCTTAGTAAAAGTTTGTGATTTTCTGCTACGAGAACCTTCTAGACTGCTCCGTGAATTCATCGATACTATGATGCTTTTGCAAACTTGGCTAATTAAGAATAAAAGTTTGAATCAGCATAACAGAAATCTGTGTGCATGTGATTACGAGTGCATTCAAACTCTCTTTCCATGATACATATGGCTGAACGTAAAATTGATTAAAATCCAAACACAACAATGGATTTATAAAGCATGATCTTCGAAGAACATATTTTTGCAAAAAACGTCTTGCGAGAAAAAGGAAGCAGAATGCATTTTTCGATGTGGAGGAATATCTACTACCTAGTCTTGTAAGATATTTTTTCTCTCCTTTCTGCATGCCTTCGTGGTGTAACTAGAAGCAAACACGACGCAAATCCGGGATGTCTGTAGTTCAAATCTCGGCGAGGGTAATACGGATGTCTTCAGTTTCCTTGTTTCGAAAAATTCTAAAAGTCTTTACAGTAGCGTCCGAACCAAAAAGGAGGTGGACGATAATTCGTCAACATCAGGATTTTGCGATTGGTTTCCCTCATCCCCAGCCACCCTTTAAAAGGGGGAGTATATAAAGTATTTTATCCCTCCTTTCCGCAGGCCTTCGAGGTGTAATTGGAAGCATACTCGGCGCGTATTCGAGATGTCCAAGGTTCGAGTCCCGACGAGGGCATTGTACATTCTTCACGTCTCCTCCTTCCAAAAAAAAAAAAAAAAAAAAAAAAAAAAAAAAAAAAAAACATACAATCTCTACAATCTTTCAGTATTTTGTGTAACATAGCACTATTCCACTACAGATAAAGTTTTCTATTTACCGCGTTAACCTCTAAGCGGCCTGGAAACGTGCTGATTCTACGAACTGCTGCCATTCTATATTTCATAATGTGTTTGATAGATCGTTCAAAACGGAGAAATAAATGTAGAAAACTAAATGATTTAAAAATAATAGATATTCTTCTTAGTAATATTATAATATTTGCAACAACAAACTAATTTACTTAAAAATATTCTAGCTATCTACAAATACTCAATTTTCTTTTGTGAAATTACCACTGGCAGTACTCGCCTGTGAACTATCAGGCTTCTGATATCTAGAAAAGAGCTCTTTCTAAGCGCAAACCGATCATGATTGATGGACTCTGGAAAATAGTAGAAACAAAATGGAAATCAATACCCCTGAAAACTTTACGAAAAGCCCCTCTGTCATGGAAATGACGATGTAGACTTATGATCCAGGAAAAAGGTTATTAGATCGAACATTTAAAGAAGTACTCTTTACACTTCAAATATTAATTAAATGTTCTAAAATTCTGTAAATGTCCTCTGTATATTGCTGAATACTGTAGTCTCTTCATTACTACATTAAAAGTGTTAGATCTTAGTGTTTTCGATTTCTCAGCTGATGATTAAGATGGTTTTAAGTCTTTTTCATAATGAGCCTGGTAAGCCTTTTAGTTGTTACGGAGCACTGAACGCTCTTCTCCTTATTATGTATTAAGTAATATTGTTGTTACGAAGTGCTGAGATCATATCTTAGGCTTCTTTCAATGCATTCTTTGTTTCCGCCTTCGCATTTAACGATGGTCATAATTTCTTTTTTAGTTGAAACTCGAAACTTCGGCAAGTGGTAATGAGAATGGATGACATGCATGTAGCAAGAAGTATTAAATTTTACATTGTGACCTTTTATGTTTTGTTCTCCTGTGCGTAAAATTATAGTTTTCAAAGCCCTTTTGCTTGGATGTGGAATCTTTTCCTTCTTAAAAATGTTTTTTGAGAAGTATACTAAAACAGTTTAAAACTGCAAAACAACCGCAGCAAATTTCTTTGAGAAGAAGCTTAGTTTTCCAATCTATCAATCTAATAATGGCCTTGAGAAATTATCGAAACATTTGAGAGGTAAAATACATACTTTAGATGTCAGCTAATTGGTCATTACTTTAAACATGAGCAAATTTCTTACCAATTTATAAACGTCTATCTTTCGTTTATCAACTTTCTTCGAAACGTAGCTCTTCAGTGAGCTACTAATAATGATATCTACAGCCCGATTATTAAATTCTCTGGAAAAGTTATATTATTATACCAAAATTGAATTATTTTCTAGATCCGTTTAACGAGAACGTTACGATACATTTTTAATTCGAATAATTCGAATAGTAGTGCAAATTACAGAAACCAGTTGACTTACCTATGCAGTTTCTTGGTCCTGCTGAGAAGGGAATATAGGCATATGGATGGCGGTCTAACATATTCTCCGGCAAAAATCGATCCGGATCAAACTTTTCGGGATTTGGGAACGTCCTTCCGCTGCGATGAAGACCAATAATGTTCAAGTGGACCGTAGTTCCAGCAGGAATGGTCAGCCCCTCTGTATTTCAAAAAGAAGTTGGAAAATTAAACGATTTTCAGTTTTAAATCAATAAAGCAAATTCATATAATTAAAGTTGTGTCAAATAAAGGGACTCTTTATTTAAAAAAGGGAGGTTAACATTTGTTTCGTACTGTTTTATTCACGCTGTGTGATGATTAATCAAAATAAATGCGTTGTTCAGGTAACCGATTTTCATGTTTAAATAAAATAAGTATTTCAAACAAACCGCTTGTTCTTGAACGTTATGCTATTTATTTCAACTAAGGCATTTATTTTCAGATATCCTGAAGGATTTTTTGAAAGATACTTTATCACATTCGCGTTCCACATGAGGGAAACTACTAAGTGTAGTATGTAAAAAATTATCGCCTTATTCCGTGCGTGCTTCGTGGTATAGATGGTTAGCACATCCAACTAGTAACTGCAAAATCCTTGGTTCAAATCCCGGCGAACGGACAGTCATTTATGTTTCCCGCTCCGACAAAATTAGTAATCTGCGCCAATGAGCTTTCGTTAATCCGAAATTTTGGTTAGTTTTAATAAAAGCTGAAGTCTCCAAATTCTGAATTAGGGTACAACGTTAACAAAGTTTGTTAAACCGATGCCATATCCTTCATCTCAAAATATGATTATCCACTCGTTTCACTTAGTTTCCATGAGTTTCTGAACAGACGCTGTCTATTTTGGTCACTAACTTCTCCTACTTTTGTTATAGAAAATTTTCTATATCCCCCATGTCTTCTAGATCTGAAGTGATCTGAAGGTCTTTTTGTAAATAAATACTATTTTGTGGGAGAAAATATTCTCCGGCAAAAATCGATCCGGATCGGGAGAAAATTTTTTTTATTCGTATCGTCATTTGTAGATGTTAAATATTGCTGCAAGTAGAAAATACAAGTCCTTAACCTCATGCGTAACATGAATAGGAGCCAATTTCCATTAGCAAAATCCTCCACGAGGGCAAACAGAGAGCCGTAATGCGTGCTTTGCCTGGAGTGAATCCCAAACCTTAATATTTTAAACGGAAGACGACTTATTTATCTGATTTCAAATTAGTAAATGAATATTCATAAAAGAATGTGTATTTGCCTGATAAACGAACACTCTTATCTGGAATGAAAAGATAAAGAAAAATCTGCTAAAATGCGAAAATGTATGACAGTAGCAGAATGACAAAATTTAAATTTTGGCCTTATTTGTATAAGTCGTTTCTAATGCAATCTTAAATATCACTTAAAACTCTTATTAATATATAAAAGTACAATAATAAGTCCAATAAAAGGTTTCTGGTGCGACGAAAGATATATACAATTATTATCATTAATTAACATTTAAAAAATTAATTTTAATTTCAGAGAACTGATCAAGTGTCTTCCTATCTGCCGCTATAAGTACCTTTTCTAGCAAGCATTGCCAAGTCTTTCTTGTCCTAGAGAATAGCTTAAATAATTTTCAATTCCTTTTAAAACAGAGAAATAGCTCTTCCCCGTAGCATTACTTACAGGTATAGGTAACTGAATTTTTAACACATTTTTAAGTATTGAGAAAAGAATATGCAGTGTTTTATTTTTATGAGCTGGGACGTATCGTTAGGGTAACGCAAATTTAGCTTTTTTCGCCATTATAATAAATTGTGTCAAATCACCATCTTATTCTTCAACATCAGTACCCAAAGAAGTAAATTTTTTACTTCCCTTGAGTAATCAGATATGTTCTTTAAATCTTAAAATTCTGAAAAAAAATTAGAAATATTTTGTTAATTTTTTAATACTTTTGTATTTTGTATTTCACTACAAATTTTGTCACAAATAATAATGAATGAATTTATTTTAAAATTTGTTTAACTTGTTAAATTGATAATTTTATCTGCTTGTTTTTCATCAAATAATCGTTTCCATTTTCTAAGTCTTTCTTGAGTGTTAGCGTAGAATTTGAATTTGGTTATTTCTAACGTCTCCTTTTCAGTTTTGGTATCCAGGGCTCATATTTGTATCTATGAATTTCTCTTGGCAACCGAGCCAGATTACACACCCGCATGTATGGCACATGTTATTTCTATAATCCATAGTTCTATTTGGGAGAGCTTTCGATTTGTATATTCGATTCAAATCACTACTTCAATTAAGTCTTAATGACTTTTATTTGCACACATCTTTTATATTACAATATATACATAATTCGAGATTAATTTCAAATCAAAAGATGGAAATTATTCCCCCTTCGTATCAAATTCTATCAAGAGAAACCGAGTGAGCGACCGCTCTCTTCAAAGTTCGTTTCCGAATCCTCGTTGCCACTGGCAGAAGAGAAACTTTCGCTCATTTCGCGTTCGAGTTGTAGCATTTCTCCCACATTTTGATTTTTGACAAAGTATGAAAAATCAAAACAGTTGTGAAACGAAAATTGAAATACGAATATAAGATGAGTAATTTAAATCTTATCAAAATCAACAATTTTATCTATGCGTAACAAATATCTTGAATATTTTTAACTTACTTAATATTCTGCAAACTTACATTCTTTAAACAACAGGCAAAAAATTGTTTTCTGAAAAATACTAGTAAAGAGATTAATTCACTAAACTGGAAAATCAAATTGTATACAAAATTTAAATTCAAAGAAAGGAATAAAAAAACAAATAATAGTGGTACTGAAAACAAAATTAAACTAACTAGTTCTTTGGTTTAACAATTTTTCTGCCATATCTACTAAACTGAATGTTTTTATCACGATTTTAAAGTTCACAGTCTTTGGTATCAATTACTAAATCATTCCTTTTACCAGTATTTCTCGGAGATGTGGATGATTCAGTAGTTTTAAGCTCGAAGATAGATTCTTTATTGTCTATCTCCATTGGAAATACTCTTTGAACTGGTCTTAACAGTTCACCATTAGATGTTTTTACTTTCACCACTATGATGTTGTTGTCTTTTCCTGGGTATGTTTCGATCACACGACCCATAGGCCAGTCTTTTCTTTTCCTTTTATCGTCCTCTACAAACACTATTTGCGACAAATGGCGCCCAATGGTCATCTCTTTGGATCCAAGTAAGTGCAGTATTTGAATCTTGATGATTTCTTGATGGTTCGCGAAGGTACAGTCTTTGGTCGATATACTAACATACCAAGATATTCATCTCTAAATCTCTTACGAAATTACATACGTAACTTTTGGTGGTATCGCCCTCTTTTCGATAAGTTGATTTTATCCAAAGTGTCCAAATCCGGAACACCTTTAGTTCGCACATCCTGAATAAACATAGATGGAGTGAGTGCACATAAATCGGTGGAATCTTCTGACTCGTATGTTAATGCTCTGGAGTTGATATTTGCTTCTGCATTACATAGGATAGTTGACATTTCTTCATATGAAAGTAATGCTTTTCCCAGGACTCTTCTCAATAATTTCTTGATCATCTGAACCAGTCTCTCCCACCAGCCGCCTCACCATGCAGCGGTTGGTGGATTTAACTTCCACTGAATTATCATTATCGAAGAACTTTTGATAATTTGGTTCCAGTCAACAGATCGGAGCGAATTCCTTGCCCCTACAAAATTTGTGCCATTATCGCTGTATACTACTCTAGGCCGTCCTCTTCGTGCTATGAATCTTGTAAATCCGAGAAAAAATCCATTAGTCGATAAGCTTTCAATTAATTCTTAATGAACTGCGCGATAAACTCCACAAGTAAAAAGCAAGATCCAAGCCTTTCTATTTTCTTTTAAATAAAGTAGTCCTCCTACATCAACACCTGTCACCTCAAATGCATAATGCATCTCTGACTCGATCTTCTGAGAGAGGACAAGGAACTGTATCAAGAGCTTTTCGCCGAGTGTCTCTTACACCAAACTCACTTCGATATGACTCTTTGTATTGTTTTTCTTCCTTTTATTGTCCAAAATTTTTGACGAATATTGGTCAAAAGAACTTGAGTTACCAGCATGTAAAAGTTATAAATTGGTAGTCTTCGTATCATTCTTTCTACTAAATTCATGTTTGGGATGGAAGTACAATGGGGCATCGGAAGTTTTTATCGTCATGTTTTCTTCAAAATCTTCGTCTTCAACCTTACGATTCCTTCTCCATCTCTGAAAGTAAAATGTCCCTTTCAACTGTTCTTCGTTAGAAAATGCTTCTTGTTGAAAGATCTTCAATAATTTCCTCTCCACAATGTCTAATTCTTCAACACTCAGGGTTTTGTCATAATTTTCTTCCTCTATGTCTACAATTATTTATGAATCTTAGAATCCAAGAAATCATTCTCACAATTTAAAGTTAACTTGAAAAAGTAAATCAGATACCATTTTTCAGGGGTGATATTAACCAAAGTCAAATAATTTCTTTTTTTTTCGCTTTTCTTTTCATATTTCTTCTTCGTTAGTAATCACTTCACTAGTTGGCCACTCTTCATCGTTCTTCATAAGCCATTCTGGCCCTTGCCACCAGCGAGTTTTCACAAAACTCTTCATCGAACACTCTCGTGATGGTATATCTGCTGGATTCGAATTTCCTGGAATGTGAAGCCATTCAGATTCCGATGACAATTTTTGTATCTCTTTCACTCTATTTGCGACAAATGGCGCCCAATGGTCATCTCTTTGGATCCAAGAAAGTGCAGTACTAGAATCTGTCCAATAGTTTCTAGGAACGTTGTCTAATTTGAGTGTTTGTAAAGAGCTGCTAATCTGACTCCTATACAGCAGGATAATAATTCTAGACGATTTATGGTTATTTTTCTTAATGGATTCACTCTACTTTTAGCTAGAAGAAAATACACCGATCCATTTTCTCTTGTTTTCTTTCTTAAATAAATCACACATCCATAGGCTTGTTTACTTTTGTCACAGAACATATGAAGACTAAGACTTTCATTTCCATTTATATCTAAAGCCCTTGAAATTCTAACACTGGATAAAAGTGACAAATCATCAATCCACGAATAGAACTCTTTTCCTAAGTCTTCGGGTCTTCGGGTATATTTGTATACCAACCAATT